TTTGTTCGCGATTTGTAAGCACAAATCTTCAATCATTATCAATGCTTCATTGCAGATTTCTGCTGTGATGTTCATATTGGAATTTTCCTTGCATATTCAATGGAAAATATCTTCAGCCATGTGCGATTTATATGTTTCCCATAACTCTGTTGGAGATGAAGGAGAGCAGGCAGTCAATATGATTGAAAACAATGCATGAATTTGATGTGGATGTGATGTGTTGCACACGTCAGTAATGCATGTAGCGTGTTTGGGTATGTCACGCTACAAATAACTTTACGCCATATTAATTATAGCGAATCTTTATTGTAATTCACTTGCACCCTTTACAATTATCACCACTTGCAGTATTAGAGTTACTGGTTACACACTCTCTCGGCCAATACTTCTGTATCTCTGGGCATCTAGGTTCCAACCTTCTTCAGCGGCAGCTATTCCAAGACTGACTGGGTGAATGAATTCAACCCCCTTTTATACCCTCAACTGCTGCTATGCAAATGAGCCTTTGTCATAACCGCAGAAACGCTGCTTTGTTGTTTCCACGATTCCTATGCAATGACCCATTGTTTTTGCGTTGTCTCTGTGGGAACGCTTCGTGTATTCGTCGTAACCGTGGAGATTCGATACAGTGTCGCTATTGTTACTTCCTATGCAACGGTCTGTTCTAGCGTTTCCATAGGGGTGACTCTTCTGAATTCCAAATTCCAATTCCGTTTTTCAAAAAAGNTCCAAGACTGACTGGGTGAATGAATTCAACCCCCTTTTATACCCTCAACTGCTGCTATGCAAATGAGCCTTTGTCATAACCGCAGAAACGCTGCTTTGTTGTTTCCACGATTCCTATGCAATGACCCATTGTTTTTGCGTTGTCTCTGTGGGAACGCTTCGTGTATTCGTCGTAACCGTGGAGATTCGATACAGTGTCGCTATTGTTACTTCCTATGCAACGGTCTGTTCTAGCGTTTCCATAGGGGTGACTCTTCTGAATTCCAAATTCCAATTCCGTTTTTCAAAAAAGCATGTTTTTGCCTGTCACAGGTGTGACATCTATATAATAGGTATATAAAAACGCGCGCATTCGAATGCAACGTTGTGTCAAAATTTCGAAGCAATCGGTGAAGAACTTTTGGAGATTTAGGATCCTGAACAAACGAATATTTACATTTTTATTTATATAGATTATATAGATGTCACATGTTCGGAATCCAGGAGTCACTTCCATAGTAAGGCTAGAACAGACCATTGCATAGGTAGCGACAATAGCAGTATTGTAGCCCCAACAGTTGGCCGTTGCCTAGGAAGTAACAATAGCGATACTGTAATCCCAACAGTGAGCCGTTTTGTCGAGAACATTGAATTATACCTCACAATGATGGAACGCACTGCTCACTATTTGTAAGTGAGAACAGAAATTTCTAATGGAGCTGATAACTGCTGCCCACTGCTGACAAATCATAAACACATGAACCTCACTGATTGCTTTGAAACATAATGCCCTTAAGCAGCATCCAAATTTAAAAAGTTCCCTTAATTCCAACCATTGTTAGCCAACAGGCATGATGATTCATCGGCAAAATTCTTATTCGCCTCTATGCTGGCGGTGCAGTAGTTACCATGAAGGGCAGGACTGTGAACTGGTCAGGAATGGTATGAACTTCCCTGTACAAATACAGAAAGATAAATCTACTCATAGATAAATACAATGAAGGCCAAAAACATCATTCAGTATAGTATTCGCAGAAGGTAACATATACACCCGACTGTATATTAAACATGATACATTTTCCTGCCAGTTGCACCCCAGACACCAACCACATGCACATTGCAACACACAGCATACATTATCAAGTGGTGGACAGGTATGAAAAAGCTACAGTAAATTTGGTGAAATTCCTCCTAACACATGCAAAAGAGAAATAACTAATTACACCATGTTATGTTTGCAGACTGTGAGACATTAATATTTTGATCATGTTCTGCACAAAGTTTGCATAGAAAGAGGAACAACAACAGAAGAGGTACTCAGTAGCGTATTTGGTTGAGGGGCTATGCTACAAGATGGAAGGTCATGGGTGCAAGTCCTGATGAGGTCATTGGATTTTTTCAATTGACCTAATCCTTCTAGCCGCACTATGGCGCTGGGGTCGACTCAGCCTCTAACAGAAATGAGTACCAGGAATTAATTAAATAATTTTCCTGGAGAGTAAAGCGCGGCAGGTGCGTAAGGCTCACAGCCTTACTGCCATCTTTGAGCCTATTGTCTAGCAAATATGAGACCCTCAATGTCTCACAACCCTATGGGCCTTCTCGGCCGGATACAGGGATAAGTTTACTTTTTACTTACAATAACAGAATCAAGAATATCTAGAAAATTACACACAGTGTTAGCAATTATACATAGGCAATGAGTTCGCTACACTCACAACAATGTAGGTTCTTAAGTATTGTTATTATTTTGGAACCATGATCCTTTCTGTGATGATTCTGCCAATGTTGATTGTGAACTGTGTATTGTGTTATGACGCTATGAAGAAATTTTACAAGCAAAAATGTGAGCTGGAACCAAGCATGTAACCCGTCTTGTAATTTTGTTCACGACGCAATTCTACATTGAACGAAGCAGCAGCAGATCGATTCGGTGATGGCATTCCCAATTGATTGAGAACTTTGTTCGCGATTTGTAAGCACAAATCTTCAATCATTATCAATGCTTCGTTGCAGATTTCTGCTGTGATGTTCATATTGGAATTTTCCTTGCATATTCGACAGAAAATATCTTCAGCAATGTGCTGCTTTGTTGATTCCACGATTCCTACGCAATGGCCAATTTTTATGGCGTTGTCTCTGTGGGAACGCTTCGTGTATTCGTTGTAACCATGGAGATTCGATACAGTATCGCTAATGTTACTTCCTATGCAATTGTCTGTTCTAGTGATTCCAAAGGGGTCACCTTTCTGAATTCCAAATTCCAATTCCGGTTTTAAAAGACGCATGTTTTTACCTGTCACAGGTGTGCCATGTATATAATAAGTATATAAAAANCGTTTCCATAGTAACGCTAGAACAGTTAGCGCATACTTCCATGGAAACGCAATAACAGTGGGCCGTTGCATAGGAATTGCCGAACAACAAACACGTTTCCCCGGAGATGAGAAAAATTAGTGGTTGCGTTGCATAACAACGGATGAAACAAACGCGTTTCCCCAGAGAAGAGAGGATAATTTGTTCCGATGCATAACAACGGATGAAAGCAAACACTTCTACAAGGTGTTCTGTGCTAGCATTTCCTAAGCAACTGATGAAACTAACTCTTCGATAAGGTATTCCCTATCCCGTCCGACCTCTGGCTATATGTATAAGAGAGTGTAGCTCCGGCGACTGTTCAGTATCACGAGGTCACAAGTATCACAAGAGATTCTGAGTGAAATCATAGCAGAGATCCTGAGTTTGCACTCAGAGTTTTGGATTCGACTCTGGCAGCGTTTCCCCGGTGATAGACAACAGAAGGCTCATTGTATAGCTGAGGTATTTATAATATTATATAATATAATATAAATAGTTTGTATCATTTATCGAGGTGTAAATAGTCCAGCTTGGACAAGAAGCAGTCAGTCTCGGGGCAGATGCCGAGGGATACAGAAGAGAGTCTGGAAGTAACTGCGGAAGGAGTCAGTCTTGGGATAGCTACCGCCGAATATAAAGAGTTTTGATTTATTTTCATTTTGATTTAATTATTTCGTGTGACATTGCGTTGGAATTGGAATGTTTTTGTTATATTTTTCCTTCTTCTTCAGTGCAATCGATCTACTTTAGTTCATCCAAATAATGCCTCGCAGAAGATCAAACTTAGGTCGTCGTACTCGCGGAGCGGAAACAAGGCGTCGAGTAATTGCAAATCAAACTGTGGAAGAACCGGCAGACTTAGCCACAGCAAGGCGTGGCCGGGCACAGCTAGTGTAAAATATTATTTCAGTACAGTATAATCATTAAAATGTTTTAAATATTTGGGTAGCTTGTTAACAGATGATGGAAGGTGTACTTGTGAAATTAAATCCAGGATTGCCATGGCAAAAGCTGCATTTAGCAAGAAGAAGAATCTTTTTATCAGCAAATTGGACTTAAATTTGAGAAAGAAACTAGTGAAATGCTACATTTGGAGCATAGCTCTGTATGGGGCTGAAACATGGACACTTAGGGCAGTAGATCAGAAACATCTGGAAAGTTTCGAAATGTGGTGTTGGAGAAGAATGGAGAAGATCAGTTGGACCGATTATGTGAGAAATGAAGAAGTGTTAATTAGAGTCAGTGAGCAGAGGAATATCCTACATGAAATAAGAAAACGGAAGGCTAATTGGATTGGTCATGTTTTACGCAGAAACTGCCTTCTAAAAGAAGCTATCGAAGGAAAGATAGATGGGCGGATAGAAGTGACAAGAAGACGAGGAAGAAGACGTAAGAAGATGCTGGATGACCTTGGGGACAGAAGAGGATACTGTCATTTGAAGGAGAAAGCTCTAGATCGCATTAAGTGGAGGAATTGTTTCGAAAGAGACTGTGGACCTGTCGTCTTGACAGATTACTGATGATGATGATGATAATCATTAGTTTGGAATGGGTGCAGTCCTTATTAACTCTTGTTTACATTATTTTTTGTTGGTTAGATTTCCCCCATTAAGGGGATTTGTTTAAAGTGGCACCGTTACAGTCCCAAGTAACCACAGCTACCCGTGACCCACTGCACCACAGTTGCATGCAGCCGCCAACAAAGCTGCGTTCTATTGTTTGTCTGCAGAACATCCTCTGGGCGGTAATGCTTGTTGTTTACTTCTTTACCCTTTCCTCTTGTCATTGCAAGACATGTGGACCAACACACAGCATAAAAAATTGCAGTCATTTAAGCTGTGGTATTCTTGGAGTGGCAGTCATTCGGCTCCTTGAGGAAGCAGGAAATGATGCTTACATGCCTTCAAATGAGGCACAGTTCCCTGATATATACGAGTATGCACCTGTTGCATGGCGTTCCCACACCTGCTTCTGCACAGTGTGGTGTGCCCATGACGATGTCACACATCCAGGGCCTTTTTCTGACAAAAGCCAAACGTTATCATTATCAAGAAATGTTACATGGCATCATAGGAGATGACTCTCAAAGATTTGTTCATGGTATCAGGGTGGCCATATTTATTGAACTGATGCTGTGCTGTCTCTCTGTTTGAGACTTTTGGAAAGTTCCCGGACTCTTATTGTTGTAAGTGCCTGGTGAAAAATGAGATGGGAGGCCCAAGTCACACCTCTGGAAGCCTGTTGCCTCAGTCTGCCGTGTGATACTGTGCTGTGAACACACATTGTTTTTACAGAAATGCCTCTTTGAGTAAGTGTTTCATTTTGTCTGTAATGGATGGCAAAATCGAGCAATGTGTGTGCATGAAGTTTTACATGAAGCTCAGTAAATCCGCTACTGAAACCCTTTAAATGCTTCATGACTTTTGGAGAATATGTGAATGGCATTCACATTTCGAGACTGGTCAAGTGTCAGTTGAAGCACCAGCAAAGTGACAGAAAATGTTGAAAATATTGAGAAGTCATGCATGAAGGCTGTCACGGAACAATCCATGTGCTCCCAGACCACTGGGTATAGTTACAGGGTTCACCAGGAGATCTTAAGAGAATATTTTAACATGAGATGCGTTGATGTGATATTTGTTCCCCAACTCTCGAGAAATTTTCAAAAGCAGCGGCACATAAATGTGTGTCTTGAGTTACGAGAGACGGCTAATAAGGACCCAGCTTTATTTCTGGGATCATAATGGGTGATAAAAGTTTAATTTACGGTTATGATTCAGAAACAAAGCAGCAATTGCTGCAATGGAAGAACCCACAGTCACCAAGAGCAAAGAATGGGGGCAGGTCCAGAGTTCATCAAAGAGCATGCTCATTGTTTTTTCAATGTGAACGGGATTGATTGTCGTGAATTTGTTCCTCCTAACCCTATGGTCAACTCTGACTTTCACTGTGACGTTTTGAGACCCTTGAGAGAAATTATTTGATGAAGAAGACTGGAAAATTGTCACAAACACAACTGGCTCCATCATGACAGTGCACCCGCTAACACGCCCCTTAACCACAGAGTTTGTGACTAACAACAAAATGATTATTGAACCCCATCCTCCCAGCTCACTGGACTTAGCCCCTTGTGATTTCGCTTTTTTTCCCCCCCAAATTGAAACTGTAACTGATTGGACCATGTTTTGAAACATTTTCTCATTTGAAGGGAATCACAAGCAGTACTCGACAGCATTAAGGAATATGACTTCCACTGTGATTTTGAAGCATGGCAAAACGATGGAATTGCCGTATACATTTCCAAGGAGACTCTTTTGATGGACTTGCAGCCAAAATGGAGTAAGTTAAGCCAGTATTTCATTTTTGACCTAGTCCGGGAACTTTCCACTAGCACCTCATATTGTTTTGGGGATTTTACTGGGCCATAAGCAGCCTGTCTTAGTTCTTTTTTTAAGTCACTGTTGTTATTTTATTTCAGGTGCCTGTCCGCTGTTAAATGGATGCTTTGCAAATATATAATTTCATTTAATTTTGCAATTTGTTAGGCAGTTCCAGTCTAGAAAACTGAAACTAATGGCTGTTGGGATTCACTGCACTGACAACACAACACCCTCTATCCACTAAATTTGATGCTAACTTAGAAGAAAAAATTGGTCTCTCTCTCAGTTGGTATAGTTTGCTTGTGCACTACAGGCCACAGAGTTTGTTTTTGTTTGTTTTGTTTATCTGTTAGACTTTGGCAGTGTAGCTTAACTTTTATTGACTCAGAAACCAACATACATGCTGATGGACTCATGCACGCACCACACAAGGGAGTGTGTGCACTCTCCCTCCATCTCCAGTCAACCCTCTGACGCCTCCTGGTGTAACATCTCACTGTACTGAGGCTTCAGACTCATTTCTCTTCCTACTAGAATTTTTCATGTTATTCCTTCTCACTTTGCAGAGTACTTTGAATGATATTCAGCCTGTGTATGGTGAGGAGCAGCAGTATTCCTGCGATGAGTGTGGTGATTCATTCAGTCAGCAACTAATCCTGAGAGCACATCAGCGCATACATAGTGGGGAGCAACCTTTTGTATGTAATGTATCTAATAAGTCATTCGGTGTTCAGAGTACACTGAAGACACATCAGCGCATACATACGGGGGAGCGGCGATTTTTATGTGATGTGTGTAATAAGTCATTCAATGATCAGGGTTCACTGAAGCGACATCAATGCATACACACTGGTGAGCGGCCCTTTGTGTGTGATGTGTGTAATGAGTCTTTCAGTGATCACAGTACACTGAAGACACATCATCGCATACATACTGGGGAGCGGCCATTTGTTTGTGATGTATGTGGTAAGACATTCAGGATTGAGGGTGCACTGAAGAGACACAAGCGCATTCATACTGGGGAGCGGCCATTTGTATGTGATGTATGTAATAAGTCATTCAGTGATCAGAGTCATCTGAAGACACATCAGCGCATGCATACTGGGCAGCGGCCATTTTCGTGTGATGTATGTAATAAGTCATTTCATCAGCAGGGTACACTGAAGACACATCAGCGCATACATACTGGGGAGCGACCATATGTATGTGATGTATGTAATAAGTCATTCAGTGTTCAGGCTTCGCTGAAGAGACATCACCGCATACATACGGGGGAGCGGCCTTTCGTATGTGATATATGTAATAAGGGATTCAGTGATCAGAGTCACATGAAGACACATCAGCGCATACATACTGGGGAGCGACCATATGTATGTGATGTATGTAATAAGTCATTCAGTGTTCAGGCTTCGCTGAAGAGACATCACCGCATACATACGGGGGAGCGGCCTTTCGTATGTGATATATGTAATAAGGGATTCAGTGATCAGAGTCACATGAAGGCACATCAGCGCATACATACTGGGGAGCGGCCATTTGTATGTGATGTATGTAATAAGTCATACCGGATTCAGGGTTCACTGAAGACACATCACCGCATACATACTGGGGAGCAGCCATTTGTGTGTGAGGTATGTAATAAGGCTTTCAGAGATCAGAGTCACCTGAAAACACATCAGGGCATACATGTTGACATGTGCAGTAAATCATAGAGCAGTAGAGTTGGGTTTAGACTAAAGGAACAATATGTAATTTGTAGCATTCTGCAGTATTTAATGTTGTAAATAAGACAGTTCTGCTGTCTGTTGCATGCTACAAGATTGTTGTTGCTAACCTTTCCAACTGACAAGAAATGAACTGAGTTCGTTGGTACAGAAGTCAATGCATGTCAATATCTGTTTAATTCTGACTGCTGAATGTGCACAAAACCCTGTCTTGTGTGGAAACAGACATGACATGACATGACATGTCAATCTCCTTACAGTTATGATGGTAATCAACAGTAGAAGCTAGTGATTATTAGGATTTAGTCACTGAAACTGATGGCAGCTCATAAACGTAATTGTGCAACTTCATTTGTTTTGTGCTCTGTGTTATCTGTGCTCTCCCTCCATCTTCTGTGAGTAAATTCTTTGATCAGTTAGTTACAGTTTTATGTATATGATTTGGATTGAATATATTTTGATGGCTATTATGGATTGGTCAGATGAATACAAACTATGCTGTATTGGTTTTTGCAGACAAAATATCTTATTGTTTGATACTTGGTATTACGATTATAAAAAGGAAGTTAAATAAAGATGTGTTGATTCTGTTTGAGGAGAAATAAAATAGTAGAGTGAATGTAATTTTTGAAGGATCATGAAGACTTGCATACATTATTTTATTGTGAATATCAGATTGCAAATTAGTATGACACATGCAGCACAATGAACTGCATAACATAAACAACTCACATTATCCATCGGCTTATGACAACGTGAAAAATGAGACATCTATTGTGTAGGAAAATGGTAACTATACAATACTAACAAGGTAGTGCAGCAAACAGTAGAAGGAATTTGGCAAAGCATATGCGTGGTCTACTGCTGTAACGAACATGAAGATACTCACTGCTTATGTAAATTTGAAAGGTCATTTTTTAAATGTCAAATTGTGGATTTAGGATCACCTAATTATTAAATTAGGTTTAACCTATTTTTATATGAGTCTTTATCACATGTACGGTTTTTTCTGATTTTTATTCTTGTTTTATTTATATAGACTGTTAATTTTAACCAAGGTCTAGTCTAAGTTTTGTCTGGTTTGTGAATTGAATAGGAACTACCGTGTATGAACCATTTATAAAATTGGGAATGTTAACGTTTGGTAATAGTATGTGAGAAACTTGCGGTACCTGAAGATGACCCATTTGAGGTGCTTTGATACTGTATCATAGGCTTCCCAGCATCTATAAATGCTAATGATTATCATTTGTTTGTTTTCCTTCTTCAATTCATTCTGTGTAATAATATAGAGTTGTTATTATGCTGAAAATTTGTAGTAGTATAATTAATGATTCTCTATAGGTTTGTTACTGTTTGACAGATTATAGACATGTGCTGCATGTTGTCCTTTGTTTGAAGTAAAAGTAATATAGTATGTGACCTAGGAATTGCCTTTGTACCTGCCATCAGGTGATTGGTTGTCATGACAGATTTTTTTGTTATTTTCAGGGACAGAAAGGACAGTGACTAAACATTAGATACAGAGAACGTGTAAGAAGTATAAAAATCAGTAATGAAGAATTGTCATTGGCAACACATCCTGTAATATAGACACCACCATGGTCAAATTGAATATGCAACTGATGTAATTAAATGCGCAAAAAAAGTGCTATTCACAAACATCATAGAAAATTTCTACATATCCATACACAGAGGTTCACACTCTTGTTGATCGTTTCAGGGCTATACTCTTCATGGCGAGTAGTGCACCACCAGTTGCGAGGTGCATACGAATTTGTTAATAAATTAATATGGCTGTTGACGATAATGCTTGGAATGAAGTAGTTACAATTCACAGATCACAAGAGGTGCTGAAAATGTTGACATTCCTTGCACTGGCAGAGGAGGTTGTGATTAACTGTTTAAAGCTGTTCTGCAGGAATATTTGGAATTTACCTATGAATATTTTGTTAGTTTTTCTGACTAGGGTTTACTGTTTGCATCTTTGCCCTTCAAAGGACCACAGAAGGAAAAATCACAAAGATTAAAGTCAGGTGGAAGTGCTGGCCAAATACCACTGCTGATATATCTGGCAAGACATTGCACAGAGCAAGTATAGACATATGTGTACATGCAATGTTGGGCAGTAGCTGAGTCTTGCTGCAGCCAGCCATAGAGTCTTGCATTAACTCTAGAAAGAATTACTTGATAATTACCTGTTTTGAAATTAATTGTTTCATTAAGAAACTCAGGTCCTACAATCTCTGGCTTTACAGCACCCCAGACTCTGACTTTCACTGGATAGAGCTGGACTTTATGGATTAGATGTGGGTTCAGTGAAGTGCTAAAATGAACCCTGCTGTCTTGATTGCATGATTGCAAGGCATGTGTTACTGATGTCTTACAGGGTCGAAGCTTCAGCTTCTTGCTATTTATTATGACCCTGCAGTGTTTTGAGGTAGACAATTCTGTGATTTTCTAGGTTCATATTCAAGTCAGGCTTCTTGTCATCTAATTCTACCTCAAGTAGCATAGTTGTTGGAGGCACTGTGGTACAAGCAGGAAGGTTCTGTGAACTGGTCACCAATGGTATGAACCTCCCTGTACAAATACAAAAAGATAAATCTACTCGTAGATAAATACAGTGAAGGCCAAAAACATCACAAGTTGGGTTATCTTGCTGCTGTAAATCAAGCCATAGATTTAGCTGTTCTTTCTAGACACATTAAAAAGCATAACTATCTTATTTGGTTTTCTGCAAAATGAAAAGTATATTAAAAAAATTTGAACAGCTTTTCAAGAAGTTAAATACTCTTCCTATAACAAATTTTCTTTTCACAGGAAATTAATTAAAACAGTCATTAAGTCTGACAGTTTTCACTGTCTCAAATCTGTCAACAAAAATTTAAAATCTCACCCTAAGCCATTTTGGAAGCATGTTTTACAATTTAAGAAACAGAATACTGCTTTAATACATTTTGATACTGATCTTGTTGTTTTAAAGACCTCTCGTGATGTTGCTGAGGCATTTTCAAAGCATTTTTGGTCAGTTTGTAACAGTCCTTGGGGAGCCGGGATAGCTCAGTCGGTATCGCGACTGGCTGTGGACTGGATGACTGAGGGGTCAGAGTTCGAGTTCTGTATAGTCAAGAATTTTCTCTCCTCTGCATGTCATCCAGACTGGCTATGGGGTGCACTCAGCTTCCTATACAATTGGTAGCAGGAGCTATTTCCCGGGGATAAAGCGGCCAGGGCGTGAAGATGACCACTCACCTCCAACCAGTCAAGAAAATGTGGATCTATACATCCACTCCCCCATATGCTTTCATGTTGCAGTGCTTAATTAGTTAAGCACAGGGACAACTTTACTTTTTTACCTTTTTTGTAACAGTCCTTGCTTTGTAACCTTTTCTTCTGCTAATCAGTGTACTGAAATTTAATCCCTATTCCCTGTTTCAAATCTTGATGTTCAGAAAGATGTAAAAACAGATGCTACCATTGAAATCAGTCAGGCTCAACAGTACTCCGAGTTTTCTTATAAAGAGTTCTTCTGAAACTTTTGCACCTGTTCTCAAGTTTATTATTAAACTGATCCTATCTGAGAATACTTTTCCTACCCAACTTCTGGAAGCAAGCAGCTATTGTCCTTGTTTAGAGAGAGAAAGAACTTCCCCTGTTGGAAATTATGGACCCATACCTATTCTTAAAAATTTTCCAACATTTTTTAATTTATCATACATAACCATGTTTCTCACTCTTAAAAATCTACACTTAAATTACCCTCTTCCCACCATGGTTTTATCAAGTCTCAAGTTTTCTGTTACCAATTTAGTCACTTTCCTCGACTCTGTGTTACCCGTTTAGTCTGTTTACAAAGTCAAACTGAATCTATTTTGATTTTAGCAATGCCTTTGACATTCTTCAAGTTGCACTGCTTCTTCATGAACAAAATAGTTATATATTATCTTCCGGTTACTTAAATTGGTTTCTCAGTTGTGTGACTTAATAGACAGACTTGTGTATGTTTGTCTGGTATATTTTAGTCACCTTTTGTCATACTGTGGGGGGTATTCCAAAGGTCAGTTTTAGGGCCTTGGCTTCTTACAATTTGCATTAATGATTTGTGTGACATAATTAATCGCTCCAACTGTCTTAATTTTTGCAGATGACCTTAAAGTCCATCGAGCTATTAATTCATCTAGTGACTGTTTACTCTCAAAGTCTGATATTAATTTTGTGCACAGATGGTGTTGGGCAGACGTTATGAAGCAAAATATAGTAATATTTATGCCTTTTACCAGGAAAACGAAAGTTTTAAACTATGAATGCAGATTTGAAAATTGTTTTATATTGCAAACAGATTGTATTAAAGATCTGGGTGTAAATATTGATTTTGAACTTCATTTTCCCCATCATTTTGATATATTTCACGTGCACTGAAATTAAGATGAGTTCGTAAACTACGTTTCCCTTTTCTACCGTAGACAGTTTACTTATGCTGAATTTTGCTTCTGTTGCCAGGAACTCTGCTATAATTACTGACTCCAACATACTTGAGAGCATTAAAGAAAATTTGCAGCCCTTTGCCATAACAGATTTTTTTTCGAGCTGTGGATTGCCATTGTAATGCTATATCAGAACAATTAAATTTGCAGGCACTGCATAATAGGCGCCAAAATTTCAATGTTTTGTATTTAACAAATATCTTTAGTGGCTCTAAATATTGTACCTCTGCCCTCAAAACATTCGGCATTCGTGTTCCTCCCGGGAACATACGTAACTTTACCACCCTTCAGTTGCTCCTTCAGCCACTGCCCTCCACCTGGATGTGTTTCTGATGCAAGTGCAGTTTGGAAAATGTGTAGATATTTTAAATAACTCATATTTGAATATAACTCTGCTGTGACTTCCTCAAGAGCATGCTCACCCCTGAGAACTGTATCGGCATCATGCTTATCGCAAGGGACTACTACTCCCGCCTTGAAGAGGGTGCACGATGCTTCGTGATGCGCAACTTTTTGCAAGTATCACAGCAAAGTGATGAACTGTTGGAATTGCTGCCAGAGGAGCTAAAAGTTATTTTGGGAGCAAACGAACGAGGTTGTATGGGATGGCATTCTGCGGTGGGTCGATCATGACGAGAATAGAAAAGGCAACATTGTGAAGCTCACAAAGAACGACAGACTTGGACTATTGAACCCAAAGTTCGTCCTCGAAAATGTAAGGGCTCATCCTTGTGTGGCAGGAAATGATGAATGTTGTGCCATCATAATGGATGCTCATAAGTACTTGCTTGGTTTGGAAATGACAACGCAGAAAGAAGGGAAATCCCTGATCGAGAGTTTGCCCGACCACGTATTCCGCATGAGATCCTATTTGTTACTGGAGGAAGGACAGATTACAGGGCTATGAATTACGTCCAAATATAAGACACACGGGCAAACCGATGGGTTAAGATAGAGAAGATTGAACCGACCTTCCAGCGAGCATGGCATGGCACTGCAGTGATTGGATTCAACATTTACATGATCGGAGGCAGCAACGATGAGGGTCACTTAAGCTCCTGCCACTTCTTCAACGCTGTGGCGAAAACGTGGTGCGAGGTGTCGTCCATGCACGAAAGGAGATGCAACTTGAGCGTG